AATTCAGCTCAGGGCTAGGCACAGAAGACAGGCCGGACAGATGAATGACTGAGGGACAAATAGACAATGCCCTCCACGGCCAGGTCTCTCCCTCTCTCCAGTTCCTCCTGACCTCAAACTGTGATCAAACAACACCAAACAATATATAATTCCCCCGCCCCACCACACACCCTAGGCTGTTTCTTGCCTCAGTGCTACCACTCATGCGGTCCCCTTTGCCTGGAATGCCTTCCCCTTCTATTTCCCAAGCCCTACTGGTATTTAAAGCCATTTCCTCTAGGATGCTTTCTCTGGTCTCCCAGGTTGGTTAGGGGCATCTTCTGGGCTCCTGTCTCACAGCACTGATCACGCTATGTTGCCACAGTCTTCCCCAGTCTCCTGCATTAAGGGCAGGAATCATGCATGGTCAGGGGTCCCTTGTGCCAAGCATAGGACCCAGCATATGACAGGTGCTCAGTAAATTTTGTCAAATGATCAAATGAATCCTGGAAAGGGCAGGCAGTGTGAGGTTCAAGATTGATATCACCAGGGTTCCTTCTTTAGAGAACGTTTGGGCTGATGAACAACTGAGCTATGCACTCAGCAAAGAGGCCCAACTCCCTGCTGGGAGAAGGGAAATGGGTAGGGGTGTTGTCTTTCACTCAAGTTTGTTCTGAAGGAAATGTGATCTCCATTGGGAGAATAGGAGGCCTCACTTCTCCCAGCCCTGATAGCTCCTCACATGGCTCAGCCCAAGCCTGGACAGATGTGCCTTCAATCTGCCCTATGCCCTAGGTTTCGGGTGAGTGATTCCTGCATCCAGAAGCCAGGCTTGGGTATGGGCTGAGCCCAGGAGTAGGGCCACCTGCTCATGATGCGGACAGGTGGGACAGGGGCCCCAGGACAGGGCTTCCACTCCTGAGTTGTCAGAGCTGAACACACTAACAAGGTTTAAGTGCCTTGGGGGAGGAGGAGGGAAATGGCTGCCACACAGGGAGAAAGGAGGAGATAAGGAAGGGAAGAGGAAAGGACCCAGCCTTCCTCTAATATAGCCAATGGACGTATGGAAATAAGACTCTGGACTGTCTGCTTCAAGTTTGCTGAGAAGTCAGTAAAAAGCAACTTTCCCCAAATTCTGTTGTGCTGGGGAATAGAGTATAAGATGTGGGGAAACAGACCTGTCCCTGCCCTGGGGAGGCACACAATCCAGTGGTTTAAGGTGAAGTCTAGCTCACAACCTTCTTAATATCAAGAACAGAATGTGGCGAGTGGCAGATCCTGCCTTGTCCCCTCTAGCCAGGCAGGCTCACGCCACACACGGTTAGCGAGCACCACATAAAGCAGGTCAACAGTGCCTCTACATCAGGGTGACTGTCCAGAGCTGTTGGCTTGATCGTCTCATAAGGTTGTCTATAAGGATTCCTGATTTGGGCAGCAGTGAATCTTGCTGCTTTTCTTGTTCATGGACTGAGTGCCTCCTCAGTCCTGACAGTCAGCCCTAGTTCTCTCACCCAGCCTCCAACTTCTCTTCTAGACAAGGATCACTCTCCTGCCGCAGGCTGGCATGGCCCTTTTCAGATGACTTTTTTTTTTTTTTTTAAAGATTTTATTTATTCATTTGACAGAGATAGACACAGCGAGAGAGGGAACACAAGCAGGGGGAGTGGGAGAGGGAGAAGCGGCCTCCCGCAGAGCGAGGAGCCCGATGCGGGGCTCGATCCCAGGACCCCGAGATCATGACCTGAGCCGAAGGCAGACGTTTAACAACTGAGCCACCCAGGCGCCCCGTCAGATGACTTTCATACCCTCCCAGACCAGAAGGGAGATGTGGGGCAAAGCAAGGGGAGATCACAGCCAGGTGGGAGGAGTCAAGGAAGGCTTCAAAAGGGCTGTAGCACTTGAGCTGAGTCTGGAAGGATTTAAGCAGAGGGTAATGAGCACTGAGTAGAGGGGGTGGTCTGTGTAGAGGGCTCATACCCAGGACCTACGAACTTCAGATTCCACAGCATCCTTAAAGAGGAGGATGAAGCACTTCCTCTCTGAGCAGAAGAACCTCAGGCTGCTGCCCTTCACTATCCAGAGCTTTCCCAAGGCTCTAGGGCTAAGGAAGGTTGGGGGACATCAAGGCAGAGATGCACAGAGCCTCAGAAGGGCAATGGGGAAAGAACAGTAAAGGACAGTATTATTCACCAGATCTGAGTTTTATTCCAAATACTGATATCAGAGACGATACTGATCACACACTTGGTGACCTAACCATGTATAAACTATGTTTAAGGGGTTTTTAAAAATTGAGAATGGGACTCTATCCTGCCATAGGCAGGTCTGTTGGACGGAGCTAAAAGCAGGATACACAGGAAGAACCTAAGAGCGGCATGAAGCACCTATGCAGAGTCTAGGGCATAGAAAAGCTGAATAAACACCAGCTGTAGGAATTCAAAAGAACTGTTCTTTTAGGGGCGCCTGGGTGGCTCAGTTGGTTAAGCGACTGCCTTCGGCTCAGGTCATGATCCTAGAGTCCCGGGATCGAGTCCCGCATCGGGCTCCCTGCTCGGCGGCGAGCCTGCTTCTTCCTCTGACCCTCCCCCCTCTCATGTGCTCTCTCTCTCTCTCATTCTGTCTCAAATAAATAAATAGAATCTTAAAAAAAACCCAAAACTGTTCTTTTAGCAAGGATGGCCAGGCTCTCCCCACCTCCACCTCTAGACCTAGCTCTATTAGCAGGAAAAACTATAGTTGATAGGTTACATGTCTGTTTCCTCGAGACCAGAGCCTGGGTCACGGCCCATCTCCAGTACCTTCCAGCAGAGGCCTACCCATTCATGCATAAGCAGGAAGTCTTTTGGGTGAGGAGGGGGTTCCTAATTCAGGCCTTTATCACCTTGAATTTGTCTTATTGAAACAGCCTCTCCTCACTTGTTTATTCTTCACCCTTCTGAATGATCCTAACTGAGTCACTCCCCTGCTCAAAAACCTTCCATGTCTCCCCAGTGCTTATAGGATAAGCATCCTAGACTCCTCACCATGGGCTTTCTAAGCCCTGCACACTGGCTTCTCTCAAGCCAGCTGCCCTCCTTCCCCACCCCCTGCAGGGCAGTACACCTCAGCAGCACCCACAGGACACCGGGCCCAGCAGCCAGCCAGCAGCTCCTGTCCCGTCTTTGCTGTTCCCTACTCTTTGCTTCAGAGTGGGGGGGCACAGGGGGACGCAGGAGGTCAGAAGAGTAGGGGTAAGACTGCTGTGCTGAAAGTCAGGCTCTGTGCCTCGCTCACCTCTGACTCCCTTACAAGGGGTGAAGGGAGACTCTGAGTCATCATGACCAAAAGAGATGAGGCAACTGGAGGCAGGAGAAAAGCAGCTAGAGACTGGAGACACACAGGAAAGGCCCTTACAAATGCGAGCCACACAGGCAAGAAGCAATGTTCTGCATCACACACATCAGAAATTCAATCACTTCCTGCATTCTTTTGACGAGTGTTTAATTGCTATTAGAAAAACGTTTTTTTTGAGAGAGCTAAAATAATCAACACTCAGGGGCTTAATGGAATAGGGTAAACTCAGCCTCCCCTGGGTGACGGATCAGTGGATTCACGGCATTGCTGCTTTGCAAATACACCACCTAAACTGGGTTGCCAGAGCTAAGCAGCAGCCTGGCAGTCCTCAGCAGGAGGGCTGACCGATCACTGACAGGTGGCTTGAGGGTCAGCAAAGGCCTGGGGGGGGGCGGGCACAGCCAGTTTTGCCCCCTCACTCCCTTGTACTGCAGCAGAGGGAAGCGCGGCTCAGCTGTTTCTGGGGAAATGAAGATGCCACGCACAGCCGGCAGTTATGAATGGCTCTTATAACAACAAGCCGACATCTGTGCTTGGTTTTTAAGATGCATCGTCGCATGTTTATTAAACTATTGCTCCATCGTATTTATTTGGCTACGAAACAACTCCCAGCCCACACTTCCAAAAGTGGTTTATTAAAAACTAAGCCTTGAACATTAATACTCAAAAGCACCCCTGAGAATCAATAATAATGCTGCAGATAAAATGAAAGGGAATCAAAGCAGTAAGTCTTGGTGGGGGCTGCAGCTGACTTTCAACACTTTCTTATATGTTCAGGCAGCTGGAGTGAGAAGGAGCACCGAGAGTGTGGCACTGAATGCAGGGGTAGCCACCCCAAACACAGGACTTCCTGTCTAATATGTGGACATGGTAGCAGGGAAGGGGGGTATCCTGGGGCCACCTCGCTTTATACAAAGGGCCAAAAAAGGCCAAGATGAAGCCCAGCGCAGGCCACTAGTTTCACCAAGAATAAAACCTCTGCCCCTAACCAACAGCCCCATACTGAAGTGCTGGGGTGGCACCAGTCTGAGCATCTATCCTGGACACAGACTGCCCAGCCCCGGCACCAGGCTGAGCCTCAGCCTGAGTCCTGTCCCTGCCCAGAACAAACCTCAGTTCCAACCTGCCAGTGGTCCTAAGGGGCCCAGCTGAGCCAGGCAGGCTGGAAGAATGCACTCAGCCCCTGAGCAGGAGCCCAGTATGTGCACCCCAGCCCTTCAGGAAGATCTTTCTAGCCCCAGAAGACCCGACAGAAAGGCTTCTTCCAGCTCCCTCCCAAATCCCCAAACCTTTCCATGGGTGCCCACCTGTACCCCATCCAGGCAGCAAGCAATAACACATGGCCAGTTCCACAAACATGTAAGAACAAATTGGAAGATTCAGTAAAGAACCCGCAGGATGTGGAAGGGACTCTAAACCATGCCCTGCTAAGAATAAGACAGTGGAAGGATCCAGAGATGTTTGGGGTCAAGAAAAAAGGAGACACAGGGCTGACTCCCCACCTTAAAAAATCTAAGGGTTGACCTGGGCCAAGGCAGCCCAGGTGACTGTGACTATAGGGAAGTTACAGGGTTCACTTTCCAGATGAGTGTGAGGATTTCCTCCAAGGCAGTCATCACTGGAGCAAGGGGTTCACCCAGCTCAGGCCCTCCTGTAGGGGAGAGCAAGTCCTGGGGATCGACACTCACCTGCTGACTTCTTGGACATTGTTGGTGCGAGCAGCTTCCATCAGGGCTGCATCTGAAAAGAAAGGGGGCACTTGTCAGATCCCTGGTCAGGACCTACCCTCAGAGCTAACTGTATGGAGGGCCCAGTAAAACAATGGAAATGGAAGAACTTCAGAAACATGGGCTTTGGGGTGCCTGGTTGGTGCAGTGAGTTAATCGTCTGACTCTTGGTTTTGGCCAGAGTCAAGATTTCAGGGTCCTGAGATCAAGCCCTGCACTGGGCTCCATGCTGAGTGTGGAGTCTGCTTGGGTTTCTCTCTCCCTCTCCCTCTGCCCCTCCCCCCCCAAAAATAAATAAATAAAAGGAAGGAAACATGGGCTTTAACGAAGGAAATGATGCCAAGGCATGTAAAGAGAAAGCTAATCATCCCCTGCCTACATGGTAGGCACTGTTAACCTATCTTCCACATCCATTACAGAGCCCAAACTTGTAACTCTTATCATACAGGTGATCCAGGTAAAGTGTTAGCAACCATGTGCTGCCTATGGCAAATGCGTGATATGTGAATCCCTTCACTCTTCATTAGCTAGAAAGCTCAGACTAATATGTTTCACATGGCTGTCATTGTTACTAGTCATCCCCCTACCTCATCCCACTTTCTCCCCCAACACTGATTTCTCAGCGTAGTTTTGAATCTCATGTCAAAAGTCACCAACCCTGCACAGAGGAACAGGCAGGGGTGTGGGCTCCTCAGTTAAGAGCCTTGACCAGGAGCCAGGAGGCCCAACCATCTGCCCCCTACTCCCTGGGCTGTGGCAGCCCCTTTCCCTCTCAACTCCAGCTTCCATGACTATAAAGTAGATGCAATAATCCTTGCCCTGGCAAGCCTCACGAGGATTCCAAGGAGATGAAATGATGGTTGAAAAACATGCCAACTCCTCGGTGCCAAGCTCAGCAAAGGGAGACCCAAAGCAGAGTGTTGCAATCCCTTAGCAAACACCTAGCAGAAAAGCAATGCTAAGCCTGGCCTGGCCTGAGCAGTCTGCAGGCTGTTGGCACCACCTTGTGGCCACAAAGAAAAACTTCGTGACTCAGAAAAACTATTAATAGTAGAGGCAAGATTTTTTCAAATGGTCATGGAGCCCTATGTGCCCAGCATGGTTCTGAGCTCCATTGTTGAACACTGGAGAGACTCATACCCAGCCCTGCCTCAGGGAGTTCTCAGTCCAGCCAAGAGACTCACCCAGCAAAACATGAGAGGAGGCACGGCAGTAGGGTAGAAAGAGCAGGATATGGAGACAGACAGACCTGGGCTCCCACCCCAATTCTGCCACTTACATGCTGTATGAGCTGGCCAACTTATCTAACCTCCTGAGCCTCAGTTTCCAGGGATAAGACAGCCACCTTGTCATGCATACACAAACCAGATCTGTGGTTCAAACATTAGTGTCTCCACCCCACCTGCCAGCCTAGAGTCCAGGGAGAGGTCTTTCCTGGTTATCTTCCCCCATGGTTCTCTAAGCACACATCCAGGGATGCTCAGACAGCCCTCAGTTGGAAGGGGAACAAAGCTTCCTCAGAGATCACTGTAACCACTCTTCCCTCATTCTGCAGAAAGAAGTGGCTTCTGCAAGGTCACAGGGGGAATGAGAAGGAACTGAGAGTCAGGGCCTCCCGGCTCCTACAGGGTAGTTTCTACTGCACCATATGGAGGGCCTGAGCTTTTAACTCCAAATCAGGGTACAGCATAGGCTAGCAAAGTCTGAAGGGTTGGAAGTGATCATGGTTTTGGTCATTACTTACTTTAGAAAGTAGACAAAGTCCATATTGGTGCCCCCAGGAACCTCTAAGGCAAGACCTTGGACCCCTCCCCCAATTCATCTAAGCATACTAGCCTCAGGACATTCCCTGCTCATGAACTTTCCGTGGCTCTCCACTGCCCATGGGAGAAATTCCAAACCCTCCAAAAACCCTCCTGACATCCAGGCCCCACTCCATCTGCTCTCACCTCATTCCAAAGACCCCCTGTCCTCCAATCAGGCTGGCTAACCTGCCAGCCCCTGCACACACCATGCTGACTTGTGACCCCCATATCCATGAAGTCTTTGCATGCAATACAATCCAACTCAAGACACATTTACGGAGTACCTACTACGTTCCAGATGCTATGGTGGACAAACAATGTGAAAGTATTAGGGAAAGGAACTCGTATCAACCTGAAAAAAAGATAAGCTGCATTCCTCGCTCTCATGGAGCTCACAATGTCACTCCTTTTCATCTCTTGCCTCATCCTGCTGAGTATCTTACCCATCCTGACCCTGCTGGCCCTCGAATCCCCCAACAACACATTGTCATACCACTTACCAGACCCATCGGCCTAACTGCCTGAACTGTCTCCTTAAATGACTTTGTGCTGCTAGGAGTTCCACACCTCCCAAAATTGGGCTCACAGAGAGTATTCAAAAAATGCTCAAAGTTATAGAATTATAGCATGCCTAAGCTAGAAGAGCCCTTATAGTCTCTATTTCAACATCCTCATTTTGTAGATGAGGAAACAGGGCCAGTGAGGATGAGAAGCAAGAGTCCAAAGTCACAATGGGAGTTACAGGTAGAACCAGAACAAGATCCCAGAGGTCCTTACTCCCAATTCAGGACCCTTCCTTTACAGCTGGCCACATCCTGCTAAATAAACTTAGTTCAAGGTAGTCCCCATTCTTGCTCCCAAGTCTGAGAGCTTGGGATGCATGAAACCTATGAACACCATGCTTCCAGCTTTACCCCCTGAGGAACTACTGAGAACCTGAGTGGTTGGACTCATGCAGGCCAGAAGTCTGGCTGCCTGCTCTCCCAGTCCCTGCTCAACTCCTTGCACCCAGGTGAGATGGCAAGCTGGGTCAGCCAGCCCCCATGGTTGCTTTTGGGTCTCTAAGGATCCAACTTCCTTGTTTTTCTTCTCCTGCCAACTGCATGGCTTGACAAGATCACCTCACACCTGAGACCAGGGACAACAAAACCCCGGGGACTCTGATGGGCAGACCCAGACTGCTGAACTCCAAGACTCAAAATAACAGCACTGTAAGAGTACTGAGAAATCATTCTTTACTGTGTAAGGGGGGGGGGACGTGAAACCAGAGAGGAGCAAGGGGTGAACAGTGGCAACGCTGGTACTGAAACCAAGTTCCTACTTCCTTTCTTAGGCCACCTTCCGCCGGGAAAACTTCTCTGAACTATCTAGTAGTTACCGTTAGAACACACGGTGGTTTCCTGGAGACCTCTTAAGAGAAGAACTGGACCAGGCAGAATATTAGGACATAAAAGGACGATGCTCTAATTTTAGATGTATCATTCAATGTCTCCATCGTACAGATGGACAAAGCAGCGCCCAAAGAAGGGAGGTGACCTATGATAGGAAGTGATACAACTCAGAGGCACTGAGCTCTCCAGTTCACCACCCTGCCCCAGTGACCAGACGATGTCTGAGTCCTTCCAGGACTGAAGCTCTGCTGCTCTGAATCTATAAGCAACTCCCGCCCTCCAAAGATAACGGAGTCAGGTCACTCCTCCCGCCTCTATCTTCCTCGAACCCAGACTGCCCCGATAATCACCCTTGTTGGACGGGCTCTTGCTGTAACAGTGAACCACTAGCGCCGTGGCCAGGGCCCACATGCTCAGTCCGGCCCTCTTGGGGACCCCGTTCCAGCTGTCCTGTCCCGGGAGTGTTTCTTCTGGGCTAGGAAGGCGTCCCCATGTTGCGGCTACGAGGCACTGGGTCTCGGTGCGTCCTCCCTGGCGCCCCCATGTGGCTGCCCCTTCTCGGGGGTGGAAGGCCAACGATGTTCCAGGGCGCCCCCCGACGGCCGCCCTCAGCCACTGCGGCTCCCCGCGGCCCGCGGTGGTCACACTCTGGCTGGAGGCACTTCCATGACTCCGGAGCGACGGGGACCTAAGCTGATGGAGGAGGAGCCGCGGCGCCAGCGCTGTTCTCCTCAACACCAGGAACCCCAGCATCGTGACAGCCGCTTAGATAACCCCCTGGTGCCGGCCCCTGCGCTGGCCGCGTCCAACATGGCTGCCGCGGCGCGTTCGAAGGCGCCGCGAACGCGGTGGGATACCGCACTACTTCACGGGAGTGGTAGTCCACAGCCTTAGATTTTTCCGCAACTGGAGAACAAATAAACTACATTTCCCAGAAAGCTGTGGAACATACGTCACAATGACAGACGACTTAGAGGAGCCTGATGCATATTGGGAAATGGAGTTCGAGTGAGGGGGCGTGGTAAGAGGGGAAATGCCTGGGTAAGAACGTGGAGATTAGAATTAAGGTTAGAATCCCAGCGCCTCCTGCCAAGTTTAGTTAAAATATGCGACGCAGTTTCTGACTACTGCAAGTTAAACAGGGGATCTTCAGCAGAAGCCTATTATGAAACGTATGCTTATTTCTTTTAGCCTATTTCTCTTTTTTAGCCTGGGACAGCTTTTCAAAAAAGATGTCTAGGGTAACCAGTACACCTGTAACAGCAATTCTCTTTATTTTCCTACACAGACTTCCTTTCTGTTGAAAAGCTAACTCCTAGTCTTGCTTTCTCACTTGTGTTATTTTCTAAGGGTTTTCACGTGGGTTGTCCCATTGAATCTCATGACAGCTGCATGTGGGGAAGCTGGGCAAGGAATGTTATTCCTGTCTACAGGAAAGGGAATTTCAGTTCAGAGGCGGAAAAAAATTGCTAATCAATCAATCAATAAAGCTCAGATCTTCTAACTCGGAGCCCAATACCTGCACCCCCATTTCTTCCTCTCTTTTCCAGACTGAACCCACAAGCAGGTAACAGAGGAAGCTCTTTTATGCCAGTCCCATCTCTTACTTCTGCCCTTCCCTTAGGTCTCTGCTCAAACTTCATATTATCAGAGCCTTCTCTGACGATTTTATTTAAAATAGCAATTCTCTTTCCCACATCCTTCCTATCTTGCCTAATTTTTCTTCACAGTACTTACCATCTGACATACTGAAAATTTATTGTGTTTAATGTCTTTCTCCAATAGAGCATGAGCCCCACAAAACAGGGACTTTGTTTTTTTCTCTCTTACATTACTAGCACTCAGAACGATGTCTGGAACAAAAAGAGATGCTCAATAAATATTCCTTTGGTAAAAGGATTACTCCTGCCTTATTATTGTGGAGAAATGAATATAAGCTTTGGAGTGCAGGCAGACCTGGATTTCAATTTTAACTCTTGCATTTACTATATGTGTGACCTTGGACAAACTTCCTTACCCTTTTCATTGTTAATTTCCTCATTGTTATCAAAGATAATATGATCTACCCTCAAGAGGATTGCTTGTATTAAATTAGATAATATGTAGACCACCACTGTCCCTGGCTTATATTAGGTCTTCCAGAAATGGCAGCTAGCATTGTTTTCCCTGCTCTAGGGGTGCACTGGATTCCCTACTCTAAACTTCATTTTAAGTTTTTATTTAAATTCCAGTTAGTTAACATACAGTATAATATTAGTTTCAGATGTACAATATACATCAGCCACTCTATATATTACTCCGTGCTTATCGCGGTAAGTATACTCTTAATACCCTTCACATATTTCACCCATCGCCCCACCCACCTCCCCTCTGGTAACCATCAGTTTGTTCTCTATAGTTAAGAGTCTGTTTCTTGGTTTGCCTTCCTCTCTTTTTTCCCCTTTGTTCATTTGTTTTGTTTCTTAAATTCCACATACGAGTGAAATCATATGGTATTTGTCTTTCTCTGACTTATTTCGCTCAACATAATACTCTCTAGCTCCATCCATGTTGTTGCAAATGGCAAGATTTCATTCTTAAAAATATGGAACACTTTACAAATTTGCATGTCATTCTTGTGCAGTGGTCATGCTAATCTTCTCTGTATCGTTCCAATTTTAGTATATGTGCTGCCAAATCGAGCACCCTACTCTAAACTTGAGGGCAGAGATGGAGTTTCTTATTTCCGATCTTTAGTAAGGCACTCAGTAAATAGCTGTTAAATGGACAAATGACTTCTTAAATTACTCAATAGCAAAAGCATTTTGACCTTCCTATTTTAAGAGAGTCCCAGGACATCCTGTTTTATTAGACACTCTACTCAGGATAGCAGCTTCACCCTCCCTGTATTCTTAGAATACTTGTGCTTCCCAACTTAGGGCTGATCTCAGCCAGAAGGGCGATCTCTGATGACCCATTACCAGGTGGGTCACAAGATGGTGTGAGTATGCATCACTCAGCCCCTCCTACTGCAGGCGCTTTCCAGCACCTTTCAGTTTACTGCGCAACTTGCAATCATTGGGTAATTCTCAAAGCACTTACCCATTGATTCCCTTATTTGATTTTCATAAATAACATTGTGGGGGGTGTCAAGGCAGGGTTGAATTAGAAGAAAACATAAAGTAATTAAACAAATAAATAGAGTAGGGAAGCTTTCTGGGTGTGACACAAAACTCAGAGCCCACAATAGAAAAGACCGATATATTTGACTCTACAAAAAAATAATTCTGATAGTGAAATATATATAGTGAAAAATATACACAGTGAAAAAATGACAATATGGGGAAAAAATATATTCACACCACAGTGATGAAGGGCTACGTAATACAGAAAACTCCTACAAAATATGCAAAAGGCCTACCATACAAGAGACAAATGCACAAGGGCAATGCCTATGGTAGCTTATACTGTGCCTTTGTGCAAAGTAAAGAACGGGTCTCCCTGAGGATGAATTAGAAAAAGAACCTGCACAGTGTGTGTGACTAGGTGAGCAGGGCGCTGCCGGATTTCACCCTTCCACTTCCATGAGCTGCATAGCCAAACTTAGCAGCCTCAAGCAAAGGACTTGACCAAAGAGCTCATGAGAAAAAAAAATACAAGTTGTATTTAAACATATGAAAATATGCTCAACTACACCCATGATAAGAGATGTACAAATTAAAGCTTTATTGATCCATATCTTACACCATAAACAAAAATCATCTCAAAATGGATTATAGACATAAATGTAAAACCTAAACTCTAAAACTTCTAGAAGAAAACATGAAGAAAATCTTCCTGATGTTCAGTGAGGCAAAGATTTCTTAGATATAATACCAAAACCATGATCCATTAAAAAAAAAAAAGGTAAAATTTGACTTTGTCAAAATTAAGAACTTTTGCTCCTCAAAAGCCACTGTTAAGAGAATTAACAGAGGGGTGCCTGGGTGGCTCAGCTGGTTAAGTGGCTGACTCTGGATTTCAGCTCAGGTCATGGTCTCAGGGTCCTGGGATCTAGTGTCATCAGTCTCCATGCTCAGCAGGGAGAGAGAGTGAACAGAGAAACCACAAAGGGGAGAAAATATTTGTAAATTATACATCCAATAAAGACTTGTACCAGAATATAAAAAGGATTCTCAAAACTCAATACAGTAATAAGAAAATGACCCTATTTTTAAAATGGGAAAAATATTTGAATAGACACTTCACCAAAGTGAAATAAAATAAACACATGAAAAGACCCTCAATACCATTACTACGATTCATTAGGAAAATGAAAATAAAAAATTACCATTACATATCTATTAAAATGTCTAAAATTAAAAAGACTGACCCTACCAAATATTTTTTTTTAAAGATTTTATTTATTTATTTGAGACAGAGAGAATGAGAGAGACAGAGAGCACATGAGAGGGGGGAGGGTCAGAGGGAGAAGCAGGCTCCCTGCTGAGCAGGCAGCCCGATGCGGGACTCGATCCCGGAACTCCGGGATCATGACCTGAGCAGAAGGCAGTCGCTTAACCAACTGAGCCACCCAGGCGCCCTGACCCTACCAAATATTGGTGAGAATTTAGTGCAGCTGGAACACTCTCATGCTGCTAATGGTAATGTAAAATGGTAGAATTTCTTTGGAAAACAGTTTGGCGGTTTCCTTAAAAGTTAAATATACATCTACCATATGATCCAGCCATTCTACTTCTAGGTATTTACCCAAGAGAAAGAGAAACCTATGTCCCTACAAAGACTTGGTCATGAATATTTTATTCGTGATAGTTAAAAGCTGGAAACAGCTGGGACCTGGCTGGCTCAGTTGGAGGAGCATGCGACTCTTGATCTCAGGGTTGTGAGTTCGAGCCACACATTGGCTGTAGAGATTACTTAAAAATAAAGTCTTTAAAAATAAAATCTTTAAAACAACAACAAAACCAGGTGGTTATTTAAAAAACATCTGCTACAAGCAAAAAGAAACAACCTAAATGTCTACTGAAACAAGAATACATAAAGAAATTGTAGTGGATCCATACAGTGGAATACTACTTAGCAATAAAAAGGAATCAACTATTGATAGATGACATGGATAAATCTCAAAATAATTATGTTGAGTGAAAGAAGTGAGATTAAGAAAAAAGACTGCAGGGGCACCTGGGTGGCTCCATAGGTTAAGCAGCTACCTTTGGCTCAGGTCATGATCCTGGGGTCCTGGGATCAGGCCCAAGTCAGGCTCCCTGCTTAGCAGGGAGTCTACTTCTCCCTCTTCCTCTGCAGCTCCCCTTGCTTGTGCTCTCTCTCTCACTCTCTCTTTCTCTGTCAAATAAATAAATAAAATCTTTAAAAAGAAAGAAGAAAGAAAGAAGGAAGAAAGAAAGAAAGAAGAGAAAGAAAGAAAAAAGACTGCATGCTGTATTATCCCATTTATATAAGATTCTAGAAAATAAAATCTAATTTATAATAACACAAAGCAGACCGGCAGTGGTTGTATGGGGATGGGTGGGAAGGAAGGTGTGGGGGGAGGGGAATTACAAAAGGATACAAGGAAACCTTTGGGATGATGGATATGTTCATTATATTGGTTGTGGTGATGGCTCACAAGAGCACAAATGTCAAAATTGATCAAATTTATACTTTAAACATGTGCAGTTTATTGCATGTCAATTACACTTCAACAAAGTGTTCTTAAAAACTATAAGATAAGGGTACCTGGGTGGCTCAGTCGGTTAAGCGTCAGACTCTTGATTTCGGCTCAGGTCATGATCTCAGGGTTGTGGGATCAAGCCCCACACTCAGAGCACGGAACCCGCCTGAGGAGGCTCT